TTTTCATTCATTTTCATTCACTCATTCATTTCATTCATTTTCATTCACTCTTCATTGCCTGATCAGTAAATTTAGTTTTGTTGTGGAATTCTCTCTATACCAATGTTTTCTTCTTGTACAGCTCAGATCGCTTGATCTTTCTGTACATCTGTACCGACAACTCTACTGCGTTCCACAAAATAGCTTATTCCGGGTATATTCATTGTCTCCTGCCATCTTTGTTCCACTGGTCGTTCATTGTGTAAACTGTTGTTATACGTTTACAATATTTTTGATATTATTTCACGTTCTCACTGTCTCTATGTTATCAGCGTTTGTGAACAGTTCTCATTTTTCACGTTTGGCACATTTGGTCTTGCTCCCAGCAAGCTGAAGGACTTCGTGAAAATATATCGTTATTATTATTGTTATTATTATTATTATTATAACTCCGCTTCGAAGTGTCATGTCTTCTATAACCTCACCACTCAATCATGATCAGGACGATAAAGACACAGAAACTCGGACCGTATTTTCAAAATGTGCTTCATTGATAGAAATCAACAGCAAATTAATCGATTTACAGATCATTTGTATTGACAACGCTCTGACTATATAGAATATCATTTTGTACAGATCTTGTCTCAATCATTCTCAATCAAACTGGGGTATGGATTTTGAACCGGTTGCAATCCAACCGTTAGTTCACTCTATTTAATTTGTGTTCGGAACTTTCGAGGTGAATCGATTGTGTCGTGGACATATTCACACCGCTCTCGATGTTTTGGCGCTGGATATGGTGCTATGGTGGTGATAGCAGAGAAGAATGAACTGACTCACGAATAAACGTTATATCAACTCGCGTAGGGTGGTTTTATGTCTCACTACATCACCATGGAGTGTTTCTTCGTGGAACGTAGTTCGTCCCGTGTTGCAAAATCACCGAATACTGAGGGCCCGGGGGTGGCCGTGACATTGGAAACTGAACGCGATTTGTACGAATCATATGTAGTTATGTTCCGAATTTTTCTCGGTTGAGTAATTTCATCTCGAATAGCCAATACCAGCGATAGGAATTTCTGTTTCACACATTTTTGAATCAAAGGGAATCAAACAAAGTGGTGAACAGAGCGTGAGCTGATTAGAAAACGGGATGTGCGAGTAAGAAATAAGTTAGAAACATTGGTCGCTCTCTTTCACCATTTTTTTCTACTCCCTTTCACAATAAATTAGATGCCAAATGCTTCAGGCGATTCAAGCTCATGTAAAATGTCAATAATAGTGGAAAAACTTAAAGGCCAGTTGCATAAACTATACAAACATCACTAATGAAAAGCCTGACCTCCTAGCTCCCCCCACCAATTAAATGGTGCATTTCATCGCATCCACAGTTTTCAGTCTTCTCACATTGATAGAACTCAAAATATTTGATTACTGTGAAAATAAAAGTAAGGAATAAAATTTTGAGCAAATGGATGTTTGAACAAAGAACACAACACTGCAGACGAGCACGATTTAATTCGGGAATCAGTTCGCTGCATCTCAGTTGGTGCTTACTGCAGAATACAAATCAGTTTCTATATCACAGGTGTTGATAATCTAACATGGTACAAATTCACTCTTCCTTTTACGTGGTTACAAGGGCAATGCCAGACTGATGTAGACCTCTTGATGCAAATACGGTCGTTCGCTTCCCCACAACCCAGATTCCGAAGCCCTTGGTTCAATCATCACTCACTCTGTCCGCCAAATCATACATCATCTATGAATTTCAATGTTGGTGCGGAGCCACCTATGTGGGTAGGACAGAGAGGCAACTGTGCACCAGAGTGGCAGAACATATACCAGCGTGGGTCCAACGCGAACGGATCAGATTGAGGGCTACACAACCAACCAGCCTGCCAAGCTAGCCGCACAGAACACCTGCATCATCAATTGCTCGCCATCTGCTGCAGACTGGCCGCCCACCCGACCGCTGGACTTCTTTTCGGGTTGTTTACACAACCTCAAATGGACGGCTGCTGATATTTGCAGAGAGCGACTGGGTAAAGCTGAGAAGCAAAGCGGTCACTTTCTTTGTGAGAAAATAACAGTGCAATGAACACAACACACTACAAGCGAGCGCAGTTTAATTCCGGAATCATTTCGCTGCATCTCAGCTGTTACTTAGTGCAGAATATAAAACAATTAATATATCACAGTCGCTCTCCACCCACCCTCCCTTCGGGGATTGTTCAAATAAGATTTTCTGCTCTTCTGCCTCGATCCGGTAATTTGTTTCATGAATTTCATTATATAGGTAGATTATGATAGTCAGAAGATAATTGGCCATACTCACTTTGTGCAAACAGTACTTCAAGCTCATTTGTACAACTCATTTTACATCTATTGTCGTCTATCTAGCTCACAACGTTAACCTATAGACACACACTATCTTGTGCAATAAATCCATCATCGTCTATCTACATTACTTCCCATCACGCCTTGGTCAAAACCGGCAATCCCTCAGTCGCGACCTATGATCATTTAGTCTCGACGCCAAAAGCTTTAGCCATGTCACTGCAGACGAGTTAGATCGAAAAGTATCGTAACACACTCTGAGGTCAACGACTGTTGAAACATTTCTTTTTATTTTCTACAAATTTTGATATGACCAAGTTTGATTAAGAAATTAGGTGTGGTGTTTGCATGGTGCACCACACGCTGCTTGGAGAGGGTTTCAAACGATGTGCCCGTATTGTCAAACCATTAGGCACATCTTATATACAGGTGTTGATCAAACTCGTGCAACATCACCCTCATTTTGAAAATTCATTTCAGCTTGCAATATCCTAGTTATATATAGATGGCTATAACGAGCGATACCCTTGTAAGTAAAACTTTTAAATTTGGCACAAACGGTACATTGTGTTGCATTCACACGTCCTGACATAATAGACATCATTTAAAAAATACACCTCCCTTTGGTACACCTTTTCCTATCAAGCCTACACTTTTTAAACGCAGAACCAATAAACTGGATAAACTGGATGTTCCCCTACTGTCTCTTTTTACAGTATACTATTTGTTCATGGGAATTTCCTCTTTTACTGTAATTCACATTGTATAATAAAAAATGTCATCTGTCGAGGCTTCTTAAGCAACAATACTTATTCCGAAAACGAGTAACCCTTTTTTACCAAACCAATCGACTGCGTTCTGTTTGGTTCAGTTCTGTGGGTTGAGCCAGGAATGGGCGAGTTACACGTAAGGTTTGGTTGCTATGCCATTGATGACAGCCAGCCCATTCACCCAAGTTCACCCCAGGAACTCCAACCTCTTCCACTGAACAAATATTGTTATTCCAATAGACCCATGATTCTCGTACATAGCTCGGATTGCACCGTAAGCCCAAAACTCGCCCCTGGTCACAGTTACTGCGGTCAGCTTTGATTACTGAGCTATCGTCAATGTTAGATCAACGACGATCAAATGTACTTTAGCTGTAGTGGGCACGACACAGTGCGTCATCCTTCGTGCATACCGGGTGGCGTCCCACCTGGTTGTCACACGCAAATAGCATGGGCTCACCAATCCACCGATTTGACGTCCGTCACAGAGCTCGACGCGATGCAAGACTGAGGTCGGCCTCATTTCAGCACAGAGCGTGGGAAGACAGGTAGTCAATCCGGGGGTAGAAAAAATGTAGGATCAATTGACCAATGAGGTGCGCTGAACGGAAGCGGATCCAACCACAGCGTTTCTTTCTCAAGTCTAAGTTATAGTTTCTCAATCCCAAATGACGGTTTCGCAAATGAAAGTTACAGTTTCTCAAAGCTATCTGAGAATGGTATAGAAGCTGATTTGTATTCTGCAGTAAGCACCAACTGACATACAGCGAACTGATTCCTGCTCGTTTGCAGTGTTGTTTCTGGAAATAATTGCTTTAGATGGATGTCTATTTTACGAAAAGCAAGTGATACACTTCGTATTTTAAAGTGGCGTTCCCCCCGGAACGGCGAAACCACCGATTTCTGGAGTCAACCTATGAAATTGATCGTTATCTCATTCCACATGCTGTTCAAAGAGCTTACTAATCTAGACCAGCTAATAAATCCTTAATCTTCCGGCAAAGAATAGAATGTCTGGCGGCAATGCACCAGGATGCACATGATTTTCTCGACAGCAAGAGTATACTAAGTTTTATTATGTCGAGATTGTGAAACGTCCAGTGGGATTAAAACCCACACATGTACAGCGCACGCTCTACCAGCTGAGCTAAGAGGCCACACGAGTTGACAAAATTGAGACAAAACTTGACTATGCTTGACGAGATCTCATTGAAGATTCCTTCGCCATGTCAGATGTAGCTAACCATATAGATGATTTAGTTTACTTCTTCTGTGTTATCTCTGGTTGTATCGGGATTGAATCAGTTCAAAAGAATCGACGAACCTCCGGTGTTTCCTATCGCGATATATCAAGTTGATAGAGAAAAAGAAACGGCACTTTTGATCGAAAGATTCACGTAATGGACATGGACGTATGCGATTGCCAATATATTTTAGTCGGCTGATATTCCCATGAGGTCTATTTCTGCGTCAGTACTCCGGTCTCAGAGGCGCTTTGTCTCATTTGTCTATGTAATAACATTGTGAATAAATTGGATGTTATCCGATATGTTAATTGCGGGTCACGTGGGTGTATAAATGTTTCTTGTGGTCTGTTAGAGATTACCGATCGACACCGTTAGCAAACGGTTAAACGTAAATGCCCACTGGTTGCTCTCCCCACAAGCCGATATTTTTATTATATTACATGATATTATATTTCACATTTGTCTTGGTTCGGACTGTCGAACAGTGATATTTAACGGTGAACATTCAAGGTTGAGAAACGCTTTGTACTCTCTGTGAGTTTGTGTACAATGATGCGGATGCCTTCATATTTGCTACGAAACGCTGAACTTACAATTATGAGACGAAAATTCATTTGCAGTGTGACTTTCTGAAATGAAGAAAAGAGATAGTCGTGTCGTCATCCTAATCATCATCAGCCTCATCATCATCATCATCATCATCATCATCATCATCATCATCCGGGTGACCATTGCTCAAAAGCTACCATTTTGTTGATGAAAGAAAGTTGACTAATTTGAATATGGTATATTGTTTTACCTTTATAGCCCATAGGTGATGAAGAGTGAAATCCAAATATATAAAGGCATTACCAGAACTCTTGGATGAACTATTGTGTTACTGATTGATGTTTCGACTGAATGGAGAATTTTTCACTATATCATGTGACCTAATAAGTTATTTAACTGTCGACAGTTGTTCAAGCTGTGGTCAAAGAGAAATGAAAGAAAATCTCGATGTATTATCATAGTTCTACTCAAGAACCTTGCTAATTAAATTGAGTCAATGGCGTTTCCTGAGCACTAAGCTCCAAGGTTTGAACCCTGCCGTTGTTCGTAGGTAGCTTTATTTCTGTCTTACTTGATANTACTTGATACCAAATCCACCCCACCCACCCCCAAGACTTAAGTAACTCGCTACGCAAAGTAATCAAGGTTGTCTCAAAGTTCCCTTCTTTTCTCTTGATGAGGAAACGGGTATAACAGCTAACGGTGAATCTTATGCATAATGTTGTAGAAGATGGAGGTGGTCGGAAGTCAGCCAGTGAGTTGAGGATAAACAGGGTATGCTGCTCCGGTACACAAGGGGTTATGCAAATGGGATGTCTGAGTATCTGACGGTTGAGAGAAAATATACTCCAAGTACGGAAAAAGGAGTACAAAAATACGAGAAAACAACAACGACAATACTCACATGCTGGTTCACAATCGGATGAGTTTGTAAAGCTCCCAGCCCTAAAGCTGCTTTTTCTGCAATATTGCGCAGTGATCGAATCACCGTGAAAAATCGAATACACTGTAATAACACAAGGAAGATTAGGGATTATTTAAAATTCTTCTGGCATCAGGTTGAAACGAGAGGAGGTAATGTATAATTAAGAGGATGAATTTGCATGAGACGAAAATGAAACAAAACATCGAGACATCCAGAAACCTTCATTGAGATAAAGAGAATGAACTGTTTTGAAGAAGCTCCAGGTTCTGTGGTGCTGGGTTTCTCCGCGCTTGACGCTAGGTATGATGTTTTAGATCAAATCTAAGAAACGTATGTTAGAAGTTTCCCACTCATTGTGTTCCTATGAAGAGGATTTTCTATAAAGTGATCGGGAGAGTTAGGGACCAATATCTGGGGCCTTGACCCGATCGATGAACCAAAAGCTACTAGGTCATCTGAAGGAGCTGGAAAATATTAACCGCGAACCTTCCTCAAGAGATATGAACAAGATCGTTTCACAGACCATGACTGCGTTTACCACCAGCTCGTTCGAGCGATAGGTTGAAGTGGGCGATAAGAACAAGTAACCCGTGTTTCGAGGATATAGGATCCGATTCACTGAACACCGGACCTCGGTGAAATGCAGTTTCCTTTAGCCGTACTACAGCTTTGTAGGCCAAAATTCAGCTAACCGGAAGCTTCGCTTTTAGATCTTTGAAAGGTTCACCTGCTCAGGCTTGGAAGTGTTGAATGATTAAGTTCCCAATCCAATCATGAATAAAGTTGATTTCTATGAGACGGCACTGGTACCACGCTATGTTTTTTCCGTTCAGTTTGAACTCTGACCACGTTGAAACCGTATGGGTATTTCGATCTATCTTCTTTATTTAACAATCGCTGGCTTGCTATATAGCGTTGTGTTAACAATTTTAGTCTCTGAAAAGCCTTATACTTGATTCAATTGATCTCGCCATGTGCCAGTCCATCTGATTAGCCTTTTTAATTGCACATACTGGCTACCTTCCTCACCAGTGACCTCCCCAGGTTTAATTTCAAAAACTTCAAACTAATTTTCGTGTTCCTTAAAAGCTTTTAATTTTTTTCTAACAGCATTTCTCATGTGCAGTTTGTACGAAGCAAACCTCAATTCCTTAGTATTTTGAAAATAATGGAGAATAGGCATGTTTGATGTCAGTTCGAACGACAGTTAACTTTGTATAACAGTGCTCTGGTTTGATTGGCTTTCTAGTTGGGTCCACCCATGAACAAAGGATTAAAACACTAGAGCAACATCAAGAATCCGGATATACTATAGATGCGCGAAGATGACGAAAAGGCAAGGCGCCTGCGGTTACTTCGTTGAGTAAAATGTCCATTGTCTGCAACCGTTGATTTGCCTAATCCCGGGATTTCCAACCCCAAAACAAATTACCTTGGTGAGGATTTTGATACTCTGAGTTAGTCCGGGCTTTTGTGTCGCCGATAACTGGCTTGCTGAACCTCGAAAGTCGAGAAACTCTACACACTGATACGTGCGATGCACATCTTAGCAAAAATAATTGATGGAAATCAAGAATTTGCAATCGTTTTGGACCCCAGTCCCCTAATAATATTTACCTATCCTCAGTCCTTCTTGTCCGGTTACCCCGAGCAATGTGATTTATATATCGGTGTCCGATCAACTTGCGCAGTAGCCAAATTGCGGAGCTACGAGGGAACACGCACATGATAGACTCAGGTCCAATGGGACATGTTCAACATTTCGGACCTTGACAGTGGATTTCAATTTTGGTCATTTTTTGATTAGCACTGTGTGAGGCGGAACAATGCCGGATGGAGTCCTCTGAACCGATTTTATCGAAGATGGACGATAAATATGGATACGGCTGCGTACTGCCATCATTTATTCTAATGAAATAAGTTGTTACTTTTAGCTACTGTTGCTGTTTCCTATTAGAGATAAAGCCACTCCCTTTTCGACCTTGTTTTTCTCGATTTCCTGTGATAATACTTAAGCACGGAGAGCGCTTGGGCTGAAGGAGGGATATTATAAACATTAGAAATGAAGAAACATTTTCCAGCAGCAGATGGCGTGTAGGAGTGTAGAAAAGACAGATAATCTATTAGCTAATTAAAATGGACGTGAAAATGAGACCAAGCATTTTCTGTTATTTAAGTGTATATGCCCTAATGAGTTTGTGATTCTAAGAATGAAAGATTCGGGCGGAATCTTGCATCCTGACAACAAACGAGAGTGGATCAAACGCCGTTCACCGTATGATGGGCAGGTGAATAAATTTGAAAAGGGAAATGGTTTTTCCAGGCGACACAATTGCGTTTACTGTACGTTTTATTGGTAAAATAAAATACATTAGAAAGCCGTCTAAGGAGATGGTGTTCCTACTTTTGTCTTCTGTTAGTATGTTAGCTTAGATTCAGAAATTTCACTAAAATGTTGATTGATTTAACTGACTATCCTTCGGACTTCACCTTCACGCACAATCCTCGGTTCATCGATTCAACCATACAGTGGGAAGCATTAGACTTGAGTTTCGCTCTTAGTAGAGCTCATCAGTAGTGCATATCCACCATCCTCTCCGGGATTTGAACTCCGGACCCATCGCATGGAAGGCGTGTGCGTTACCACTGCGCCAACTAAAAGCTGGCCTCCAGCACAAAAGAGCAATTTAAAATTGACCTCAAGACCAAAAATAACTAAGGATAATCGTATATTGTTAGTCACCCATGCAATTATTTTGCATATCGGGGAACCTGTAAGAACGATTGACTTCCATGGTCATTCATCAGCACCTGAACCATGGATCATCATGGCGAAAACTATCGATTCGCAGTCGATTAAAAAGCGAAAAGTACGTATATGCCTGTTCGTAGTACCAGTACCAGTCACCGGTAAGGAGTGGCGAACAAACAAATGAAGATCAACGCATATCAATGCTTGATAGAAAAGAAAGATCCAGGTTAACCTCTTCTGTGGCTCGGTCCTTATCCCGTTCGTACAATTCCATAGATTGTTGCAACGTTTCTTTTCCCCTTCGCCACTCGTTTCCTGTTTCTTGTAATTCGCTACTTTTTGTAAGCAAATGTTCGGTAGAGCATAACATTGTGGTGCACAGTTCACGTGAATTGCGCTCGATCTAAAATAAGTTTATTCGGGTAGGGGTAGAACCGTGGTGTAGAACGGTTAGTATACATTGAAAAACGTTCAGACACATTGCAAGTCTAGTGGGCCGAAATAATGAAGTATCAAAGGTAGTCGTGTTTGAAATAAGCACTGGGTGTTTTTACGTCATAACTTCTGTCTTCATCATATGATATGGCAATGAAAGAGCAAGAAAACCAATCGTACTGTAAGGCGTTTATCTCAACGTGTTAATGAGCACCCCGAGCGATAATTAAGTCATGGAAAAGCCAACTGCGCGATCGTGGGTCATCTCATAGGCCCCGCGCACAAGATCGAAAACAGTTGTCTGTTTACCCACTCGTTTTATTAGCACTATCATGGAAATATTCCTACATTTAACAAAAATATTGAATTTCTCTGCCGCGGGGGAATTGGAACGAACGGAAATACTTGCGATTATTTATAACATGTCAAAGTACACGTGCCACTTTAGTCGCATAAAAACTTCCCTGTCACAAACACAATACGCTGAAGGTATGACTGTTAATTAGATGAGGCACAGTGTTCCAGGTTCTTGATCAGGGATGTAGACAATATATATGTATACATACATATATATACGAACCAAGGTTTGAGCTCAACCAATCAGATGGTCTGCTGAAGCGGGTAGAGACAGTGAAATATGGTAACTGTTTGGGGTTATTTCCAAACTGAAGGACAAGGTATCACAAACTTCGATTCATTAAAAACTATTCAGTTTTATAAATCTTTAATGGTTTCGGAAAATCAGCTGAGTCAACACTGGTTGTAACTACTTAGAAAATCCCCACAGATGACAACTGTCATTAGCATTAAATCGCCTTCAAAAGTTAAAATACGTCACTGCGATACCTCGGGTCAACTTATCTAACTGTGCAATATGGCCATCCTTAAACAAAGGCCACCGACTCAACAGAGACCATTTCAACTCCCTATATCTGTGAGTGATCTTAATTAGCAGAATTTCCCTACCGTTTTCACAAAGGTTAAAACGAATCATGCAAGGGAACTCTTCTAGTGTGCTCATACTTCAAATTGCTCACCCATGTACCATGCAAGAAAACACTCAAAAATATAATTTCCATCAGCCGAAAAAGTCGTAATTCATGTGGCATTAAAATGTACTACTCCATCTGCGAATCAAATAATACTATTTGGTTTACCGTTTCCTGTTTTTTGTACAACTCGTTCAGTAGGATTGTTTTCATCTCGTATAGGACAGCGTATCGAGACACCAGGCTATCCGCGGCATTCGTATTTGCGCGAATGTAATCTACGGGACAGAGATAAGTTTGAAAGTAGAAAGCCATTAGCATGTGTTAGAACTGAGTCACATCATAAATAAAAGAAATTATGAGTCGACAAATTTCGAGGAAAAATAGTTTCTATCCAGATGGGGTTGCGCATTTTGCTTGTTACAGTCTTGTTTCTGAATGGGGCGACATCATTATGTCCTGTTTTAGGGTCCCTTTCTGTTGCTGGTACCGGTGATGGTGGTGATCGGAGTGACTTGTTTCAGGTCTCTTGAATATTTCGCTCTGGATGAAATTCCTTCACTTCGGGTTAGACTTTTGGTTCGTTTATTAAACAGAACGAAGAATCGGATGTCTTTGAAAATTTTTCGGCATTTCCACGTGATCCAGATAAACCTTCCTGTGTTCTCAGTTGTACAAGGAATATCAACCAATTACCGAGTAATTGCATGTTTTTATCCGGGTTTGGTTGATAATATTCAGCTATCCAACGTCGAATATATATATATATATATACATATTCTCACTCACATCTCAGTTCAGACGATGTGCCAAAACAAACGGTACAATGATCTTTAAGAAAGGAAAAAGTTCACCATGTAATCAAAACCAATTCTACACTGCTCCAGTGTAATAAGTAGTGAGGTTGGGATCGTTTCCAACCGAATCTTAACCCTAGTTCATGGTGCTGTGGTGACNAAACAGGCTGGTCGGCGGTCTCTTGGCCAAGTAGATAGTGTGTTAGCTTTCTGCCTCTGAGGTCCCGGGTTCGATTCCTAGTAGGGCTGATGGATTTGCTTAATTGATGAGACCCAACCACATCGAAATATATGCGCCCTGTTTCGTAGCTTTTAATTTTACGCTTCATTTGTTCACCACGAATTTAGCCATATACTCCATTATTCTGTTTTTCATTTAGTCTATGAATGCAAGCATTTAAATTTTCTAGTTAATATCTCACTGTGTTAGAGCAGATAGGGAAATCATGCGTAGTTTGATAAACACCGATCAGCAAACCACCCTTTCGGAGCAGTTATGAAGGAAGTCATCTCGGTTGCAGCCATGTGGCCTACATCGACGAAACCCGCTTTACAAAAATTTGAATCGGTGGTGGACAGACAGACTTCAAAGTATCTCCAACCGGAAATGTCTTTCAGGCTAGGTATACTGTGATCCACTGAAAAATGACAGGAAACAACCGACAAGCTAGAAAACGGTATAAATATGCTTTTTCCAAAATCCACCAAGATATTTAAGGGGTGAGTAAATGCGTGAACACTACTAGGTCTAAAGTGTAAGACAGAAAAACAGTACAGTTTTTTAACGATAAACTGAATAGCCATGCCGAATTTTGTCATCTTTGGCTCTGACGCTATCGACTGAAGTGGTGTGGGTGCGTGAACCCCATGAGCAATGTCAAAATGGATCACGTTTTAGGAAAAGCACAATAGCGAACAAGTTCGTTTGAAGTGATTCACCTACAGACAGTGCTCAAACTTTGGTTATCACACGTACGACGTGATTCGGGTGATTAAGGGCGCGTGAACGGATGACTGTGTCGTGTGTGTTGGTCATGGAAGCCGAGTCTACTTACGAATTGTTTTTGGGAGCATAGGGAGGGGTATATTGGTGTGATCACCTTAGTTGAACACTGGATACGTGCAATAAACAAAGTGGTCATATCGACCAAAAGGTGATTGGTAAACATTAGGATGGACGTTTTAGTTTTCATTTTTTACAACCATCAAATAAGCATTTTCCTGCGCCGGTTTCGGTTTCTGTTTTCTGACCGCCAAGTTGGATAAAAGAGCGGAATGAACATTGGAATGCTGACAGCAAATTCAAGCGGAAGGGAGAGAATTCATAAAGACTGATGTTATCTAACGGGACAATGTGACCCGGTCTCCTTGTTGGGGTTTTCATACCCTCATACCAGGTCTTAGTTTGACCGCCCTTGACCTTTTTCCAACCGCTGTATGCCTCGGCAAACATCACTCGTCGTGGTAATCTATCTGGTGGCATGCGTAACACATGCCTCAACCAACTTAATCAATGGAGATGGAATACTTGCTCCAACGGACGACCGTGATTGCCTAAAACTACGCCTTAAGTCAGTATTTCTCGTCCGGTTATCCCACCAGACACGTGCAATGCGATGTAGACAGCGGTATTTGAACACCGACAAACTATTTTTATCATTTTCCCGTAGTGGTCAAGTCTCTGCACCATAGAGCAGCACTAACCGAACTGCTGCAGCATATACTTGACCCTTCACAAACAGCCGAATGTTGCGACGGCACCACTGATGTCTCTAGTTTGCAAATGCCAACCGAGCCTTTTGTATGCGCGCAACACTTCATCTGAAATGCGTCCACCAGATGAGATATAGCTTCCCAGATAGCAAACTTTTTCTATTTCCTCTACTACTTCTCNAATTTGAAGGTGCAAAACGCATACCGAACATGGCTACGCTAGCACTTAAAATATCCAGAAAAGGTTGCAACTTACATGGATCTTCACTCAGTAGCATAATGTCGTCTGCACACTCCAGATCAGACAGTCTGCCACCTGGGAGTAAATAGATAGCGCTATCCTCGCAGGAGGATAGGGATGTTTCAAGAATTAAATCTATGAAAAAGTTAAATAGAAACGGAGAGGGCAACCCTGTCGAATACCACTTTCGGTAGCGAATCCGAGTGAAAAAGTACCGTAAGCTCGGAATCAGCTTCGGTCATCAAGGTTATTTATGGGTGTTGGTGGTGCAATGTTTTAGATACTGTCACCGGCATGCTTTGCACCCTATGGTTCGAGGTTCGAGCCCCGCCACCGCCACCGCCACCGCCATCCAGGCAGCTTTGCTGTCGTCTGGTTCAATACCACGCTTAACCTAGAGGGGCTTTGTGTGGTTCGCCACTCCATGTCCCGGGGATAAGCTTACCGGTTCCCATCACTAAACTATAGGTCTCCCAGACTATGGGGCCCACCCCATCTGCTTTTCATCACACAGTGGTGTGTAATAAAAAATTTGCTCATCAGAAGTGGGACAGTCCAATAGTTCGTACATTTATGCTGCATAGATAACTTACTTCTAGGCAATAGTTTGAGCGCGTCTGATATAAATTTCTCATAGACTTGCAAATGAGTCAGTTTCTCTTTGAGCACTTCCCGTCTACAGAGAAAAATCAGAGAGAAGAGAATGACAGGAGGATGAGCTTGTGATAAATTGAAATAAAATTACAACACCATTACTAAAAATATGATTTTCCAGTAATTCTTAGTATTGGAAGATGTGCAACGTGTCAGAATATACATAAACTACTGATAGAGTATAACTTGGGGGACTGTTATGGCATACACTCCATTGAGAGTCTAATGCTTATTCCGTCACAGTGATCGTAAAGAGTTCGGAACTCTGAAAAATGGCGAGAAGCATTTATAGAAAGGGAAGCCTAGTCCATCCAGATGGATAATAGATCGCTCAGGTATTCCGTTTTAGTCAAGAGGCATCAAAAAATTATTAATCGGGGAAAACACACGTCCCGGTTGATAAATCCTAGCTAGATGATTGCACCCACAGCTGTGCGTGAAAACGCTCTCTGTTCGGAAAGCAACGGAACTGACGCTAGTATTACTAAATGTGTCCCGTGTCTCCGGCAGTTATGGCTCAATATTAATGTGCATGATTCAAAGATTCCACCGGAAGATTTCGCTTCATCAAGACAGAGAAAATTTCATAAATAAGCTGGCAAAAGGTTCAACCACCCGTACGACTTTCAAGCGGTGTGGCATCCCTGAAATCTCCAAACCAAAACCGGTGCACCAAATAGCATAGTTAATGGTAGAAAATAACTGAACGGAACAGAACGGAACTGCGAGTTTGTAAGCCTCACACTACATTTTATCTTTTACTGTGCCATCTTTTATGGACAGCTTGCAGATAATCTCCGTTGACTTTAAACACGCGCATCTTTTATGAAAGTCTTCAGCCCATGTTCAGCCTGTAGCTCCCTATATTCTTCCCTCCAGAGATTTACCCAGATATCACGATTCGATCTTTGGTAAACCTAAGATTTATAGGAGTCAAGGAATTTTTCCTTTCTTTTGATATTGCGTTTCGCCGGTGTGGTACTTTGATAATCGCTCTCTAAAATGATGAGCATTTTGAATCGCAGCGGAGCTTTCCCCGATTGATCTTTTTGCCATATCTGACCGATGATGTGTATCATTATTTCGACATTTTTTCCGGCGATTACTTTTTTGTACATAATCGGATATTAACTCCTTTCAATATACGTCCCTGTTATGAGAAGAAACTTGCATATATAATGGATAGAATGACCGAAGTAAAGCTACAATTCATATAGGTTAGACGTAAGGTAAAATGATCTGAATTGTTTTTAAGTAAACATTCTGGAGATGTATGATTTTAAATATCTTTAGCATGGGACAAAACGAACTTGGATGTGTAAAATCTTAAAAGTTATTCTATGGCCATTAAACTACTGAATACTACTCTTAGTCATACTTCTTGTGACACACTTCTCACTTCAACCCTAATCCATTCCTTGTTTGAAGTGATTCGCCCGATGAAGTGTATGGAAATATGCCTTCACTTAATACGTCATGTTCGGTCGATCGAAATAACTTAAACCTCTCACTTCTATAACTAGGAGCAATACTGTTATCTCGCTCCTTCGTTCGTATACCTAAACTTTTATTGCATCTACGATTCGTGAAACTTGATTTTACTGTCATATATACAATACTTAAACAAGAAGCAAAAATAATATTAGCATTAGTAATGCTAGTTAGGTAAATTTTTATAGATTTTTTATATGTAAAATAGTTTCGGATGCATTTGGAATGATGTGCACATTAATTTACCCTTAACAAACGGAATAAGTGAATTGCGAACCGAGGTCTCGAAATTCATCGTGCTTTAGAATGACATACAGTCTTAGATATTTACTGTCATCTGTAAACTGAACTACATCATTACGATTTGTTGAAGGTTTCAACATTTTCGCTACATTCTGTTTCGGTCAGCTCCTAGTTCCCCTTGGGAGACTTAACGGGACGTCAGCTGGTGTACACGATGACCTCAAGGTTTTAATGGGCCACTGTGATGAAATTGTTCTGGTCCCTTAAGATGAACGTGAATGCTACCACGCAATCACAACGGCACAATACCGGCTAATGCTACTCCTGCCACTTCCGTTAACGCACTATTCCGTCAAAATATACGATAGCAAAGTGGTTACCGATTTTTGATCTTACTCACAGTAAAAGTCACCGGACCACGGGACCACCGTTGTGTACCGGTTCTTGTGCACACTCATTACGTGAACTACGGAGTGACTACAATTCGGTCCATCAGACCAGGCTTATCTGTAACAAAATCATATATAGAACGATTCCGATCAGCTTGGTGTGAGGTACTAATCACATTCGTGAGTAGCTCGCAAAAGGATGCGATTGACGGCTCTTTTCAACGGTCAAAAATGAATAATACCTGTTGAAGCGAATTGCTGTGTTCAGTATGGGAACTACAAAAATGCGCATCTAATAAAGGACCGTTTCAATAACTATCCTGTGGGCGTGTGGGAATTCTGAAGACTCGCTCCAAATGAGACATTGTGTTCTATGAATGCCAATTTGCCGATACCCTGACCGTTATTAGTAATAAAAACTATCCTCGTCCGATGTGACCTTGTGGATTTATAACAAGCGAATTATCTACTTTAGGCAGGCTTGGGGAGTTCGTTGCTGGACATGATATAAAACAAGTGGGAATTAGAATATGAGGATACTACTGATGAATGTATTTGTGATGACCGACAAAGAGCATCGGATAACTGCTTCTCCCTGTTTGAGACTCGTCAGGATGGTGCTCTAAAGTGAGGATAAGATTAAAACACTGGTCGGTTTTGCCATACACATACATCGATGGTGACTTTAGGGTGTACAAACACAAAATATAAATTAACCTGTATTCAAACACGATGAGCAGAAAAACTTACTACCTTATTGACTCGTAGTTCCAGTGGCCGAAAACAGGCATGAATACGTCATGTAATAAAGCCTTAACTTAGACTACCAATACAAATGCGGAAAAGTGAAGTGATTTTGATTTTCTCATTCTGAGCATCCGCCTACTAAAACGTTTCCAACAATACTGTCCAACGATGCAACTGCTGAAGTCCTACCGTGTGTCAACGCGTGTATGCCTCTGTATGTATGAAGAAAATCTACAATCCTTGTTATAATAACAGGCAGTATGAGGTTACTTACTTCACACACACACATATGTACATATATATATATATTTATATATATATATATATACAGAGAGAGAAAGCCAATCTTTACAGGTACGGCACCGAAAAAACCATAGGTTTAACGTAAATTATAGGAACAGCAAGAGGGAAAACAAAAGCAGTCGACTTTGGGACTAACAAATATTTAAATTTCCTTTACTCAAATTGGTATAACAATGGCATAGGCTGTATAGTTATACAAACACCTCTCGAGTACCAACCACTCGCCGCGGAATGATAACATGAGACCTGTGTAGGAAAGCGGATTATCTTTTCAGTGTAAAAGAGAGTTACAACTACATAAAAGTGGTTTGATTTTCAAAATTCATAGTATCTCGGTGACTGAATAAATTCATAAAAAATGCAAGCGACATAATCATTACAGAAATACCTTTTCAAGGCCTCATCTGTTTCCCGACTGATATTATACAGTTCCATTTTTCCCAGTTCTTGAAGTCGTCTGTTTTCCTTGAACACATAATCTTGTCGACGCATTTTGGACACATTGTCTAGAATGAATTGCTTGAAATTTACTCGTCGTTCGTCAAATTGGGCCCGTTGGGAACTGATCACGACTCGCCGGTTAAACGATTTGGTCATTTTATCCTGTGCGGGGGATGTGCATGCTGAACGATTCAGTGCCTGCTGGAATCCTCTGCGTAAACGCACCTCAATTTCATGTAACGCTTACGTTTACTACTTTTAGTTTGTCTGTTTCGTGGTATGCATATGGATGTACTCAAATATACAATGGTAAAGGGAATTCCAAAAGAAGTTGATCTCAGGAAAGGCTTACTTCAGTTTTCTTAAGGGGAATTGCCTAAACATTATGTTCGTGCAACAGTTACGTACCGAATAATTTATGACGGGAATGTTTCCTTTAGACAAGAGTTTGTTTTCGATAAGCTTATTTGAATGCCCGTAAAACCATATGGGTTCATTGGTTAATACCAGGCAGTTGCATAATCCTTGGAATACGGCCCGAAGGATAAGGTACAAGTTCTTCGTCAAACTTTGGCAAATGTTGCTGTGAAGTGGCAAAGATAAACAATGTACGATACGAAAGGGAATTTCAGGTCAAGCCTAAGAACATATATCGGAACTAGATTTCAATACGAGGTAGTGACAATAGAAGTCAAATCACTTCACCCTTATCCGACAGGTAAGTTGTTTGCATCAACTTCCTTTTAGGAATTTCATAAGAGCAGGAACAAACATAATTTGTGATCATATAAATATATATATATATATATATATATATATACCACGGGATTGCAAGCATGGTGCTAATGAAATAACAATAATAACAGAGGACGAGGGGATTCGGGTACTCAAACGAGTGGGTAATTAGTGGGTGAGATAACCAGAGTAACAAATCTTTGTTATTTAGTACACAGTCTGCATACAGGTATGTGTGAAATTCATGCATATAACCATTTCACCGTACACTATTTTAACTTTTTGTTAATCGAGAGAGAAAAATATCCACTGCGGACACCCGTGATAAGGAACTTCAATTCTTACGCTTTGATTTTGCACAAAATGGGCTGCTCAGAACGGTTTATTGGTAAGAGAATGATTGGACACAAGGATCGACCAAAAGAAATAGGAGCAATTAAGTCTGTGTATGTGCATCTACCGTTCAAGGGAGATGCGGAGGTGAAAATCATTCAAAGAATGCTTCCGGATGCTGTAAATAGGACATTCCACACTGCAAAATTGAAAGTTATATTTCCATCTGAATCGATTGTTTCCTACTAAAGGACAGGGTGCCAGATTCTGCAACCTCGTTCTGTGCATACTCGTTCACTGGTTCCTGTGGCACAAGGTACATTGTCCACAAGATCAGGCGCTTATTCGATCGCGTTCGTGAATACCACCCGACCTGACTGAGGACATGAACTATAGAGACAATTACGAGCGAGTTTTGTTCGCACCAACAAAGGGTCTTATTGTGTCGATTGTGAAAAGTTCAGTAGCTTAGGTGGGATTCGAACCCACGCATCACTTCTATCAGTGTGGCCTCGTAGCTCAGCTGGTAGAGCGCGTGCGTTCCAAGCGTAGGCGGCATCCATGCGTGGGTTGGAATCTCACCGTTGCTACTGTACTTTTCATAATCTCGACATACCAACTTCAAATCTGTCAAATAACATTTTGAATAATTACTAGTTACCAATTAATAATAAAGTAATATTATTCAGATCGATGAAACACATAGCCGAAAGCCAGCAACCAAAATCGTTACAAAACAGTGATTGATTATTGGTTATGGAAAGTAAAATCTAACCCAAGATTGACTGATGCTATCAATGCCACATTTAAACCAAAATGGAATGACCGTTGAATCCACCATTTAAATCATCATTTAAATGAAAAATGATGATGGTATTAGGGTACTTATAGTGAATAGCTAATTTAACAAATTACTGTTGTTACACCAATAGATCAAATTGTTCGAAAAAGAAGGTTACGTTTGATCCGATAGGAAAATGAAACCAAATTGCGAAGAAAAAAAGCTTTCAGTCAATTTTATCAGTACTGAGTTTGTTTTCGCATGATTCCTGTTGTCACATGATCATTTTCCGCAGTGTGGCTTGTTAAGTTAGTATGTCCGAATCAACCTAAAAGCGGCTCAACCTTTTAGATTCAAATGATTACAGTATTTGGTTCAATTATAACTATGGGCGTTCCTTTGCATCTAAACGGTCAGTTTTGAATGTGATCGAAAAATTTGATTGTATTTGGAGATTTCACTTACCGAAAATTCAAATAGCTTGTCAATGTGTTCTAAAGTAGCGTTTCTCTGATTTTCTCGAGCCTCGCTCAACGATGTACCTATTTGTGTCATTGAAACCAGTCTAAAATCAAAAAGTACAGATAAAGAAACAGTTGAACTTATCATTTGGAGTTTAAGATTTCCCGCAACGAAAATTCAGTGAGAAAACGCCTATTTCAACCCGTTTAGTGCTTTGCTCCATGTGGTAAACTCAACGAAACGAGATTGATCATGCATGATGTATTTCTGTATTAATGTTTCTGTGTACGAAGCTATACAGTTATTCGTATGTGTGTATGCATCGAGCTTTGTTCCTGATATTGATAGCAATAGCTCCAGATGTTTCCAGATGATTTCGTCTTATGTATTTCTATTTTTTATTTGACACTTATTAGATCACCTTAAAAGGGCCTTTGTCTGTTTGGTGGCTGATTTCCGTCCGACAGGTCATAATCCTTTGGCATCATGTCGGAAACCAGGCCGGTTTATGCTCTTGCATACTTTTTGATGACTACCTCGTTGAAGGATGAATAACTCGTTTACTAAGGGCAGGTAAATGAGTATGTCACCTTATCCACAGTAGGTAACATGTTGACATGAGTATTTGAATTTGGTCGAGAGTTTGCAAAACTGGATTAATTTTTTGACTTCGCGATGGAAATATTCTGTTTTACATCAATTTATCAAATTCTCAAAGTCAAATGCTGTCTAAGAGGTTTCTGAGCATATTTGCACGACATCCAAATTTCACTGTTTGCTCAAACGGTTGAGAAATGAGTCAAGATCACCACATTGAGTATTGCGCTGTGGAGACTTTCCATCCAGAAAGTGACGACTCAGTTTATTAAAAATATTAATACTCTCCTGCTCAAAGAAAAATCAGTAATATCCAGAATCCGGTACATGGGAAACAGTGCAAAAATACTAGATTCATTTACCGCGAAAATGTTGGCTATATCCTAACAGTGAGAATGATACCGTTGGAGCCGACGGATTAGATATTTTCAGTAGTGATCGTGGGCTGTAAATTTTCACAACAGAAGTGACGAGGTGGTCACTTTCATCATTCTAATTAGTTGTTACAACGCTCATTTGATGTGTGATTTATCAACTAGGAAAATGACTTTTACATTCGTCCTTTGCGAGCAAGTTTTCTCAGTAGGATTTCATGAATTTCTATTTACATACATTACCTCTGATAAACCCACCTCCAATGTGACACCGTTTAGCGGTGCCATTTGCCACCTGCATAGTCCACTCTTACAGCTGCTGAGTTTAATCTCTTCGAAACTTCCTACCTAACAACCCCGGGTTTATCGAGCCTCGGAAATTTTCCCATTCGAACTCTTTGTTTCGTTTGTTTTATACTCTTAGATGAGCTCCTGTTGGCACTTCAAATCACTGTAGGATCTTTCGTTAACCAAAAATCTGCTCAAAAGCGAACTACTATCATCACTCCCGACCTGCTTCCTGAAACTTAAAAAAGGGAATTGTTTCCCCGGTAACTTGACCAGACTGAGGGACTAAAATTCTACTACCAATTTTTCCGTGGTTTTCAATAGTTACCTATCTTTGTCTTATGAACCGCTTATCAGTTATCCTAATTTCTATTATGACCAATGTTACCCAGTTAAAACTATTCATATCGGGCCTGAAAAGTTTTCCTCTCTTCTGCGTAAACCAATCCTTCCTGCGAAACAGATGATTTGCATGACAGATAGGCAAAACGGTATAGAAGAACCATATTTACTGATCCGAGATGAGGTAGGATTTGTAAGAAGAATATACAATGAGACTGTTCGGGATACAAAAAGCTGTTGTGAGGTGTGACCTACCTTGCGGCAGCTGAGCTTTTCACTTAAAGTTCTTGAATTAAATGATCGATTTTCTCCTGTAACTGCCTCAAGCTTCCTCCCATCTTCTCTACCAACCCATGACACAACTAACCCTGTCTCTACGAATGATGTATTCTAGCTTTTGAGGTGACTTAATGGAAATGAAACTCATGATCTAAATCTATTAGTATTCTCCTTGTTAAAAGTATGCACGGATCAGCTGACACCACCTACCATTAGATTGTAAAGCAATTGCTCACTATCCGGAAAGTTATCCGATTGTTAGAGGTCAGTCCGGATAAGATGACCAACGAAGAGCACGGAACATCTGTTTCAACCTGTTTGGGACTCTTCAGCAGTAGACATTTTTTGTGTCCTCGTTAGGACTCGCACCGCGAACCCTTGGGCCGGGAGTTGAAAACCTAACCCCTGTCGTCACAGATATTTACGCCACAAATAAATGCACTTAACTGCTGTGGAATGAACAGTTCAGTTGAGTCAGTTTTTCTAATCATTAACCATGCAATTTCTTGGTTGCTGTCTTTTGGTACCCCATTTGGATAAAAGAGCAGAATGAATATTGAAATGTTAAAAGCAAGTTCAAGCGCAAGATGAAGAATTCATAGTGGTATTAGGAGAATAATGATTAGATGTACGAGCGCCACTGTTTGCGACACCCAGCCACATCACCCGGTTTCTCTGACCACCGGTGACAGTCATATCGGGGTCCCCTGCCAGGGAGCCTAACGGGACCTATGTGACCCAGTCTCCCAATTGAGGTTTTCATACCCTCATGCGTGGTCTTATTTTGACCACCTTTGATCTTTTCCCAACCGCTGTATGCCTCGGAGAACATCGCTCGCCGTGGCAATTTATCTGGTGATATGCGTAACACATGCCCCAACCAACGTAATCTATGGAGGTCGACCACTTGTTCCACTGGACTACCGCGAATTCCTAAAACTCTACGCCTAAAATCAACCTTTATC